CCAAAAGACCAAGGCCCCTGCTTTCCTATTCTTTTTTAAAGAATTGAGGCCATTCTCTATCAACCACTGCTTAGACTTAAAGACAAAAACGATTGTTTAACAGTTACTCATCAAGACATCGAGAATAACAGTACTTCCTGGTAAACTTATTGGCTACATCTACACTGGCATCCCTTCCGAAAAAGGAAGTAGGAATAAGAAATCCTCCGGAAAAGGCTTTATTTTCCGGAGAATAACGTCTAGACTGGCGTTTTTCTCCGGCTTTTCCCCAAGCCGGAAAAAAGCGGCAGCCGTGTAAATGCAAATGCCACGGGGGATATTTAAATCCCCCGCGGATTTGCCTATTCCAAAGTCTACATTAGCATCCCTTTTCCGGAAAGGGGTGCCAATGTAGACACAGCCCCATTGTGTCAGTGTTAGGGCGCTAATGCCTTTTCATGTGGCTTTGCCAAAAGACTGCCCGAGCAAAAAGCTATTGGGCAGTAGAATTCAAGGTAATTACTCAGTGGGCATCTCGGAATATCCAATGCCTTGCTGCATAGGGGGCTGTGTTTGGCCTACTCTGCACTACACACACCACACCCATACAACTTCAGCTACACAAATAGTCTAGCTGAAGTCAACATACTTACCGCAGTGTCTTCAATGCAGTAAGGCTGGCAGGAGCTGCTGTCCCATCTGATACTCTTCTCGTCCTGGTGGCATACCGAAGTTGAAGGGAGAGGGCTTGAAGATTGATTTATCACATCTCAGCAGACGTGATAAATCAGCTGCCGGTTGATCAATTGTGGCAGCGTTGATCCACTGTCCCACTGTGTAGTGAAGACAAGCCCTTAGCTTGTACTGCACTAGCCTAGCCAGCAGCAGATCCTCACACAGCATGATGTTGTGCTTAGGGCAGGGAGCTGGGCATAGGCAGACTTAGAATCATAGAACCACAGAGCTGTAAGAGACCTCAGAAGGTCATCAAGTCCAGCCCCCTGCTCTAGGCAGGACCAATCCCAACTAGATCATCCCAACCAGGGCTTTGTCAAGCCGAGACTTATACACCTTTAGGGATGGAGACTCCACTACTTCCCTAGGTAACCCATCCCAGTGCTTCATCACCCTCCTAGGCCGTGTCCACACTCAGGGGTTCTTTCGAAAAAAGTAGCCTTTTTTCGAAAGAACTTCCCCTGCGTCCAGACTCAAGCCGCGTTCTTTCGAAATAATTGAAAATGAGGGCTGTCAGTGCCAGGCGGGTGAGTGCGCTGACGTGCAATTAACAAGGGAAGGACAAGGCAGGCGGAGAAATCCAATCTCCAGTCAGACGTGACTTGGAGGTGGCAAAGTATTTCCAGAAGCCTCTTGTTACCTTCATTAGGAAAGGTCAAAGCCAATCCCCCCAGGTGATTTGAGGAGAACAAGGTGGTTATTAGTGTGATCCATCACCATCGCCAGGGTCACACTGCAGGTAGCAGCAGCATGTTCCGGAGCCAGGGGTGACTGCTCTCTGCCCTGTGATCTGTGTGGATGGCCATCCTGCCCTGGGGCGCACTCCCTGCGCCAGAGCACAGAGCTGGGTGGAGATCACAGAGGCAAAGCACCCCCTGAGGCTGAGCTAAGCCCTGGGACTGGAGCAGCGACACACAAACCTCTCCCCAGTGGAGGTTTGCACTGAATGTGTCGCAAGTGTCAGGAGTTTAGTAGCCTCAGCCTGGGCTCCAGCACAGCGCCCTCGGCTGTGCGGCAGCTGATCACCTCCCGTTCAGGAGGCGCCCTACCCGGCAAGCAGCAAGTGGCTTTGGGGGGACTGACAGAGAGAGGGCCCAGCAGTCTGGGGAAGGCCAAGAATCCTGGAACCAAACCTAGGGTTGCCAGGTGTCCAGTATTGACCCGGACAGTCCAGTATTTTCTGCTCCTGTCCAGTAAAAAAAATCAGAAAATACCGGACACCTGAAATGACTGGCACTTTCTGATTTCTTCCCGGCCAGGGGGTGAAAATAGCGGACTGGCTGGGTCAATACCGGACACCTGGACACACCCAGGAACTGGGACCAGACCCGCCCCCGGCTGCGTAACTGGCTCTGCGGGAGAGCTGTCTGGCCGGCAGCAGGGAGGCACAGGATGGTCGCCAGTCGATGGCAGCCTCTTAGATACAAAAAGCTTCTTAAAGGGGCCATGCTGCTTTTGTTTTATTTTATTTTATTGCTCAACAACTTTGGTCTCCTTTTTTTCCCTCAACAAAATGTTTTCCCCGGTGGGGTTTTTTGGTGGGTGGGGGTTGGTATTTTTGGTTAAACCATCTGGCAATCCTAACCAAACCCCAGCCCAAAAAGAGGGCCTGGAGAGGCCTGTACTGCCCAGTGGTGTTTGTCTCCATTGTAAAGCCCACAGACTGGGCTCATCTGGCACAAATGGTGCCATCTTCCTGGTCCTGAGCCTCTCTGAAAGGAGGAGACCCAGCGCAGAATAACCACCAGGGCCTGCTCACCCCCTCAGTCTGGCTTTCATGGGAGTTTGGCCAGATTTCAGCCAGAGCCACCAGTAAGAGCTGCAGGGGCACCTCAGGGGCTTTATCCAGCCGAGCCCTCCTGGGCTACTTCTACGCTGCACAGAGATTTCAGAACAAGCTATTCTGGAATAGTTATTCCGAAACAGCTTATTTCGAAATAGCACATCTACACTGAGGGAAGCCTCAAAATTAGTCCGAGGCAGGCTTCTCGCATAGTTATTTCAGAAAAATGGCCATTATTCCGAAATAACTGTACTGTGTAGACATCCCCCAATGATTTCGATCTAACACAGTCTTCAGCACCCAACATGTTGTGCTGGAACTTTGCCCAGCTGTCAAGACACAAATTCCCCATAACATCTGCCCCATAAGAATCTCCACTCTCCTGTGCAGGGCGTAGGCCACTTGATAACTGCCAGGGCAGGGGTGGGACACAGGGAACAGAGGCCCAAGGGCAGCTTAGTACATGCTTGGCCATATGGAGCTTTCCTGCATTTTCCTTTTTCTTGGAAGCAGCTGGCCTTTGAACACCAGAGCCAGATGAGACGGGCCATCGGTCTGGCCTGCTCTGACCATTCCTGTGTCCCTGCTTTGGTTCTCTTACCTCTTAAGCATCCAGCTCTGCATAAGGCGCCTGGCTTCCCAAAGTGACCACTTCAAGACTCAGTCTGGTTGGCTCTTTTTTCAGTGAAAACACAGTGAGCCTGGCCAGCCGGACTAGGGACCTGGCTGCTTGTGGTCACAAAATGCCGACAGAGTAGCAATGTGGCACGAGCAAACAACCTCCACGCTTGGCTATAGCAGGAGCTCTCAAGCCTTCCCATGCTCAGACCGCCTGCCCTGGGTCCCCCCCCTCCAACCTCCTCCCGCCTCGATATGTGTTCATGGCCCTGTTGTTACAGGTATCGATCAGGGCACAAAAACATTCCTAGGGGACTTTGTGAGAAAAGTTCATTCTCCTGCAAGGAGGCTTTGGGGCTGGGGGATGCAAACAAGAAAAGGAGCATTGTCTCAGATTAACCTCCTGTCTGACAGCACTTACCCTGAGACTGCACTCAGCATTTCCAGTCACCTTCTCCATCCCCCAGCAGCCCGGGAGGGAGGGAACTAGGACTTGCTCTGCTGCAGAGGCATTGCCAGCTCAGGTGATGTGACTTGCACACGGCCAGTGGCCACACTTCACTCCTCTCTAGGACGGGTGCAGGGCAGCAGCAAGGCGTAGGGGTCGCAGTTACAGCCAGGCACAGTGTGAGGAAGAGATGGGTCCAAACTCAGGAGTCCCTGGTTCCTTGGCCAGGTCTATTTTTATTTACATTATGGTAGCACGTAGCAGCCCCCCGTATCACCAGAGCCCCATGCGTGCTGTATGGACACACAGTAGGGGACAGTCCCTCCCCCCGTCCAATGGGACGACATAGGTAGAGAATAGGGGAAACATTACAGGCGAGGAATTGAGACACAAAGTCACTTGCACAAGGCAATGCAGACGTTCTGGAGAACAGGAGGGAGCCAAAGCCAGTGCCTCATCCACAGAACCACCATTCTCTGCCTGCTAGCTTTCCTTAGTGAAAAGCCACTAGGAACGCTCAGGCCCAGTTCACCCTCCCTTACCCACACTGATTTCAGTGAGACCGTTTATGTAGTAAGGGATTAATCAACCTAAGGGTGGCAGAACTGAGCCTTTCAGCTGGAAGTCTGTGAGCTTGTTTGAGGATACTAGAAAGTGAGATCCGCCTAAGTCAATGGCCTTTATTCTCCTTGCATCTGTCTCATGGCAGGTTTTAGTCCACTGACAGCTCTATGAATCAAGCATTAGCTGACAATTCATGGTGGCTGGTGAAGATAAAAATCATCATCTCTGCAACCCTGTATCCAGTCCCATAGCAAGAACGAGAGAGCGTCACGCCATGAAATCAGAGGCCTGGAAAAGCAGTGTTCATAAAAGCAAACTATTGCTTCAGCCCCAGTGCAATGCACACCATGCTAGCCCACTCAAGCCTGCTGGGAGTGAGCAAGGGCCGGCCTGTTGCACAAAGATGAATCTTCTCTGCAGTGCAGAGCCAGCCTGCAGCACTTTTTGCCTTGGGAATTCAGAGTCAGAAATGCTACAGGTAGCTGGGCGTAAGGAAGGGCTGGACACCTAGGCCACGTCTAGAGTGCATGGCTCTGTCGACGGAGCCGTGTAGTCTAGATGTAGCCCTAGAATAATCGACATGCTAAGGTAGGGGTAATCAAGCTTCATGCTTCGTGGCATATAGCAATGACTCGGAGCCAGGAAGGAATTGTTTTGAGCACGGACAGCACAGCGCAGCTGGCCAGATGCATATTAGCATGAGGGGTTTTCTCCATTTTTCTGATGTGTCAGGTATTAGCCACGTCTGAAGCCAGGATACCAGACTTGAGGGACCTGCTATGGTTCCTCCAACTCCCGCATTCCAATTCCTTCCAGAGCTTCCTTCCTTCCTTCCTAGACATGGACCATCAGGGTGCTGCATTGTTCTTCCAGGTGCCTCAGGGAGAGTGGAACAATACGCTGTCTCGGGACAAAGACAACGAGATCCCATGCCGGCGCATGCGGAGTGGGAGCTACATCAAAGCCATGGGGGATGATGACAGTGAAGACTCGGAAACCAGCCCCAAACCGTCTCCGAAAACAGCAGCTCGGAGGCAGAGTTACCTCAAGGCCACCCAACAGTCCCTGAGTGAGCAGAGCACCACACACAGGTAACTGGCTTAGGGATCCTTTGCACGCCAGGGCTTTAGCGTCAAACCCAGGAGTGGGCCCGGGAGTTCTACTGAGGTCATCCACATCTAACCTGGAGCATTCCATGCTGGGCCTTCCAGCATCCAGATTAAAGATGGTGTGGGGTGCCATCGCCTTCATTTTCTCCATCTGAGTGGGACGTTTGGCCTCATGGGAAGTTATCAATGCTGCCCTCATGTGGGTAGAGTTTGGGCACCCTGGAAGAGGGAGCTGGGAAGCGGGGAGTAAGAGGAGGAGACAAATGGAGAGATGAAGATAAGGTGGAGGAATGAAGCAGTTGCTTGTTCCCTAGTGATTCTAAAATAACCCTAGGGCTACGTCTACATTGGCATCCCTTTCCGGAAAAGGGATGCTAATGTAGACTTCGGAATTGCAAATTCCGTGGGGGATTTAAATATCCCCCGCGGCATTTGCATTTACATGGCTGCCGCTTTTTTCCGGATTGGGGATAAGCCGGAGAAAAGCGCCAGTCTAGACGTGATTCTCCGGAAAATAAGCCCTTTTCCGGAGGATTTCTTATTTATTCTTGAAAGTAGGAATAAGAGATCCTCTGGAAAAGGGCTTATTTTCTGGAGAATCACGTCTAGACTGGCGCTTTTCTCCAGCTTATCCCCAAGCCGGAAAAAACGGCAGCCATGTAAATACAAATGCCGCGGAGGATATGCAATTCCGAAGTCTACATTAGCATCCCTTTTCCGGAAAGGGGTGCCAATGTAGACACAGCCAAGGGGTTTGAATTGCACAGGATCTCTGTCTCCAGTAGGAAAAAGACATAAGGACAAGTATTTTGATGATGTATGTTGCCTTCAATGCACTTACACTGGTTTACATCTAAAAGGATTTGGCTCTTACTGAGGAGTGAAGCTTACACAAGAAGCTGCTGAAACATGGAAGACAGCTTTTAGCACAGTGTCTCCCAGCATGGCCACATATTCACATTCATATGCTGGCCTTTGGATCCCTGAATCCTTTTTCTGATGTGCTATGGTGGCTAATCCAAAAGATTCTGGGGAGCATCTGTAAGTGAAAGGCACATGGAGCATGGAGCGTGGAGTGGGCTAGGGGATTGGGTGTGTTGCCAAGCTATGTGGAGGATGACACCCGGAAAAGATGAGATGAGGAGGGGAGAACCAAAGCCAAGCATTGGGTTCCAGGGCTGTGTCTACACTGGGCCACTTATTCCGGAAAAGCAGCCGCTTTTCCTGAATAACTTGAAAGCTGTCTACACTGGCCGCTTGATTTTCCGGAAAAGCAATGACAATCTACTGTAAAATTGTCAGTGTTTTTCCGGAAAAACTATGCTGCTCCCGTTCGGGCAAAAGTCCTTTTCCGGAAAAACTATTCCGGAAAAGGGCCAGTGTAGACAGCACAGTAGTCTTTTCCGCAAAGAAGCCCCGATCGCGAAAATGATTATCGGGGCTTTTTTCCAGAAAAGCGCATCTACATTGGCCACGGACACTTTTCCGGAAAAAGTGCTTTTCCAGAAAAGCATCCTGCCAATGTAGACGCTCTTTTTCCGGAAATACTTATAACGGAAAACTGTTCCGTTTTAAGCATTTCCGGAAAAGGGTGCCAATGTAGACACAACTCAGCTGTCTGGGGTCCCAACAGAGAGTGAAGAGACTTAATTGTAGCAAGGGAGACTGAGAGATGAGGAGCCCCTACCTGTATATGCAGCAAATGCTGCTACACACAGGCTGGCTACGTCTACACTGGCCCCTTTTCCGGAAGGGGCATGTAAATTTCACTAGTCGTCGTAGGGAAATCCGCGGGGGATTTAAATATTTAAATAAAACATTTAAATAAAAATGTCCGCCGCTTTTTTCCGGCTTTTAAAAAAGCCGAAAAAGAGCGTCTAGACTGGCCCCGATCCTCCGGAAAAAGTGCCCTAATTATTGGGGAAAATAGGAATCTTTTTGACAGTTAAGCACTGCAGACAGTAAAAATTAAATAAAAATCTTTTTTAATCTTTTAAGATTATTTTATTTTAAAATAATATCTCCTGTTTCAGTGACTTCTTTCATAAACAACTATCTTGCCAAAACTTTACACAGGTCTTCTTTCATTGATTTGAGCGTTGTCACATCATGAGTACACACTAATACACTTTTTGTACATCACGATTGTATTTCAAGTACTACATATTTCAGTTGTTTTAACTGTGTGTCTGTGTGTACACTGGGCCACTTATTCCGGAAAATCAGCCGCTTGTCCGGAATAAGCTGCGAGCTGTCTACACTGGCCGCTTGAATTTCCGGAAAAGCACAGACAATCTACTATAAGAAATCAGCTGCTTTTCCGGAAAAGCTATGCTGCTCCTGCTCGGGCAAAAGTCCTTTTTCCGGAAAACTGTTCCGGAAAAGGGACAGTGTAGACAGCACCTTAGTGTTTTCCACAAAAAAGCCCCGATCATGAAAATGACGATCGGGGCTTTTTTCTGGAAAAGCGCATCTACATTGACCACGCATGCTTTTCTGGAAAAAGGGCTTTTCCGGAAAAGCATCCTGCCAATGTGGACACTCTTTTTCCGGAAATACTTATAACGGAAAACTGTTCCGTTTTAAGCATTTCCGGAAATTCATGCCGGTGTAGACGTAGCCACACTCTGTAAACAGTTGCTCCCTGGGCTTTCCCATCACTACCTGTCCTGGTGCTGAGTCCCTGAGCCCCTTAACAGCACTGGATTGAAATTCACAGAAGAGACAAAAAGTGGGAGATGCTGCCAACTCCAGAGAAGACAAAGAGACCAGGAGGGGGTAAATGTGGAGACAGAAAATTAACCAAATGCCATTCAGCTTGGAATAATACAAGTGAATATGTCTGGAGAAGTAATCAGAGACACCTAGGCTGTGTCTACACTGGCATGAATTTCCGGAACTGCTTAAAACGGAATACTATTCTGTATTCAGTTTTTCCGGAAAAGGAGCGTCTACATTGGCAGGGTGCTTTTCCGGAAAAGCCCTTTTTCCGGAAAAGCGTCTGTGGCCAATGTAGACGCTCTTTTCCGGAAAAGAGCCCCGATTGCCATTTTCGCGATCGGGGCTTTTTTTCCGGAAAAGACTACTGGGCTGTCTACACTGGCCCTTTTCCGGAACAGTGTTCCGGAATAAGGACTTATGCCCGAGCGGGAGCAGAATAGTTTTTCCGGAATAGCGGCTGATTTTGTACAGTAGAGTGTCGTTGCTTTTCCGGAAATTCAAGGGCCAGTGTAGACAGCTCACAGCTTATTCCGGAAAAGCGGCTGATTTTCCGGAATAAGTGGCCCAGTGTAGACACAGCCCAACAGGGTGGGGAGCAGCAATGTGCAGAGACCTCAGAGCAGTAGTTGACTGCAGAGGAGATGTGACTTTATCGTGTGATCTGGTGGGAACAAGAACAGAGTTTAAAGGGTGGCATTGTGAGAGCATCTGGTCCCCAAACAAGGAACTAGCCCCTGTCCCGAGGCTTGGCTCTCCTCTCACAACACTACCGTGAACCCAGTGACTTCCCAAGGGTTCTCCTGACTTACAGCCACATAGGAGAGGAGAACTGGGCCCTCAGGTATCACGTTCAGCTCTGCATGCCTCAGCCCTGAGAAAATGTTGCATGTGGCCACACACGAGTGGGGAGGAGCTATTTGGAGGCACAGTATGAAACTGAGCCCAAGAAAGTTTTGTCTGGCTCTCAGGCAGTGAACTCCATCCAGCTGCGAACTAGTGTCCAAGAGGTCATTAGAGAAACCAGGTGGGGGAGATGATGTCTTTTGTTAGACCAGCTTCTGCTGGGGGCAGAGACAAGCTTTTGAGCCACACAAAACCCTTCTTCAGGGCTGGAAAAGGTCCCCTGACTTCATAGGGACCAGCATGGCTGGACTACATTGCCCTGTAGACACCATGTGCACTGGCCCTAGGGACAGGGGTGGCCCTAGACTAGCTGCCAGCAACTGGCGAGCCATGCAATCGGCCCCCCACCTCCAAATCCCTCAATGATATTGCACCACCATTTGGCGCTCCATTTAACTTGGCGCCCTAGGCGACCACCTAGTTTGCCTATATGGACGGGCTGCCCCTGCCTAGGGACTGGGCTTGAGGGGAGTGAATGGGGCCTGTCTAACTACAAGGTTACGTCAGTGTAATTTGTGTCGCACAGGGGTGTGAATAAGCCACCGTGCAAGGGACGTAAGTCATGCTGAGCTGAGCGCCGGCATGGACAGTGCTTCCCCCCCACCCTCCGCCCCGGCGAAGGTGGAGTTCTTATGCCAGCAGAAGAGCGCTCTCCTGGCAGCGCAGAGCCTCCTGTGCTCAGCCTGCTCTCTCATTCCCATGTGGGCAAGAGGAATGGGAAGATTTGGGCACAAACTGAACGTATCCAGACTACACAAAACCCCCGAGCCAGGCCAGAGGCTGCCCCAGGCCTAACTGGTACCAGACTAGAGCATCCTCTCTCCTAGCAACAGTGATAGAGATGTAGCCGTGTTAGTCTGGTGTAGCTGAAACAAAATACAGGACTATGTAGCACTTTAAAGACTAACAAGATGGTTTATTAGATGATGAGCTTTCGTGGGCCAGACCCACTTCCTGAGATCAAATAATGGAAGAAAATAGTCACAACCATATATACCAAAGGATACAATTTAAAAAAATGAACACACATGAAAAGGACAAATCACATTACAGAACAGAAGGAGGATTGGGGGGGGGGGGGGGGGGAGGGTCAGCTAGAGGTGGGGAAGGGGAAATGTCTGTGAGTTAATAGTATTAGAGGTGATAATTGGGGAAGCTATCTTTGTAATGGGTAAGATAGTTGGAGTCTTTGTTAATTCCCCTGCAGAGAGTGTCGAATTTTAGCATTAATGCCAGTTCAGAGGATTCCCTTTCAAGTGCAGATTTGAATGTCTTCTGAAGTAGGATGCAGGTTAGCAGGTCATTCAGACAGTGTCCTTTCTGGTTGAAATGACAAGCAATGGTTGGCCCACGAAAGC